TCCTCCTCCTCCTCCTGCTTCTCCTCCTACTCCTTCTTCTTCTCCTTCTTCTCCTTCTCCTTCTCCTCCTCCTCCTCCTCCTCCTCCTCCTCCTCCTCCTCCTCCTCCTCCTCTTCTTCTCCTCCTCCTTTTTCTTCTTCTTCTCCTACAATTACCTTTAACTGTCTTGAAGATTTTCTGCACACGTTTAGCAGACGGTTCTCATTTTGTCTTCATAGCAGCATCTTACAGCATGCTCAGTTTGGCATAAGCCAAAGATCAGAGGCTACTTTGGTCTCCTTAGCACCACATTTAATAATCAAAAAGCAATTCCACAGCTAGTGGCCAGCATTTCAGTGTAGGACTTTTCTCCCGATTCTGCACATTTGCCATAAATACAGAGGAGCTGAGGAAGGGCCATGCCCTCCACGTTAGACTTCACTACTGAAGTTCTGGTCACTGCTGGCTTAACTTGTATTTCCAGCCAAGCCAGTACTTAAGATAAGAGGATAAAATAGCTAAAATACCTAAAGGTGGGGACGATTTTAAAAATGATATTTGCCCTAGCCGGTTTGGATCAGTGGATAGAGCATCGGTCTGCGGACTGAAGGGTCCCAGGTTCGATTCCAGTCAAGGGCACATGCCTGGGTTGTGGGCTCGATCCCCAGTGGAGGGGCATACAGAAGGCAGCCGATCAATGATCCCTCTGATCAATGATCCTCTCTCATCATTGGTGTTTCTGTCTCTCTCTCCCTCTCCCTTCCTCTCTGAAATCAATAAAAATATATTAAATAAATAAATAAAAATGATTTCAACAGATGTCAAATCACCTATTTACTCAAAGACACCATCATCCACAGAGCACACCACTATCTTATAGGACAAGAGTAATTTGGGAATATTACAGTTGGTGATATGTTATAATTTAATTTGATAGGATATTTTTCTTTCCAAAAATATCAATAAAATTCAGCATTTCAAAAAGAGGTACGGACAGTCCCATAATATGTAAAATGCTGAAATTTACACTTTAATCACTAAGTTTAGAAAAGTGAAAGTATTATATGCTTATATATATCCAGAGAAAGAATATATTACTAATCTTTTAATAGCCACAAGAAAAGATATTCTCGAATATATTCTTAGGAAGAGTTGGCGCATTGTAAGAATGCGTTATTTGGCAAATTGGCCTGTGGCGAGTTGGTCCCGGCCCTGGCGGTGGGCAGGTGTGGAGTAGCTGGTCTGTGGCGACATGGGCACGGTTCCTGCCCCTCTGAGAGTGGAAGACACTTCCAGCCCCTTTTCTGGACTTTGTGGTGGCACCATCCTGGGGTGCGAGGGGACCAGCTGCCCTGGCCCCGTCTGTAGGGATCTGAACTGTCCTCCCCCCCACCCGCCCCCCAGCCATCCTGCTGGCCTCCCGGGAGCTGGTCCGCAGCAGGCGTCTGAAGCAGATGCTGGAGATCGTCCTGGCCATCGGGAACTTCATGAACAAGGGGCAGCGTGGGGGCGCCTACGGGTTCCGGGTGGCCAGCCTCAACAAGATCGCCGACACCAAGTCCAGCATCGACAGGTGCGGCCTGCCTGCTTCCTGCCTGCTTCCTGAGCCTCCATCACCCCCCCTCCAGGCCTTGCCCCTCATCCCTTGGGCCCTCCCTGCATTTCCAACCCAACCCGTGGCCTCTCTCCTCTACACCTCAGCCTGGTTTCCTGCTGACCCTCGTTCCCTTAGCCATGAGCTGCCTTTCCCCTGCAGGAACATCTCTCTGCTCCATTACCTGATCATGATCCTGGAGAAGCACTTCCCCGACATCCTGAACATGCCCTCGGAACTGCAGCATCTTCCAGAAGCCGCCAAAGTCAAGTGAGGGGTCCCTCCGAGGCCGCATCCTCTCATGTCCACACACGCTCTTGTCCGAATGTCCTCCTTGGGGCTACTCTGGGCTGACTAGGGAGGGGCAGTGTCTCTGAGTCTGCCAAATGAAGACAGACTATTTGCTCTTCAAACCTTTATTCGGGGATCTCCCAGGAATCAGAGTGGGGCTGGGGAAGGGAGCCAGGGATGGGAAGGCTACTAATAAGGGTGTAATTCCACCAGCTACCACTGGGGGCAGCTGGAGCTTGACCCTTTCCAGGGAAGTCAGGGAGATCTTGCAAGACACTCTTCTAGTCTTACCCAAGTGGTGAGGGAGCTGGGACATCATACACCATCTCCTGTCCGTCACTGGCTGAGGGGTTCAGGGGGTGGGGCATTACTCTCTGGCTCCCAGAAAAAGGGCTCATAGCCGAAGTCAGCACTGCGCACTGCAGTAAATGGTCCAAGGAGCTGTGGGTGGGGCACCCGCAGCATCTGCTATAGGCAAGAAGTCAGACCTGAACATATACGTATAAGCTGATAGAAGCATCTTCAATAGAAGCGGAAATGCAGTGGTACATGGCTAACATCATCAAATACTTAGTGCTTGCAAGTATAATACTTGTAAGTTATGAACTTACACCTATCCCCCGGTGGTAAAAAATAAATCCATGCCAGAGGCCATGTGTCAGAAACCTGACATTTCCGGTCTCAGGGGTTCTATAGAGCATAAGCTTCACCCCTGTTATTCTATAGCCGCACCGACAGAGCACAGTGGGTGGGGAGGAAGGTGGGAGATTGGCTACGTGTTAGTGGCCAATGCAGGCCTGGGGCGCAGGCCCACTGAACCCCAGGCCTCGGGGTTTAGAACTGCCCTCTGCTGGGCCACCCTCATCTCCTGTCCCTCCCTCCATGTTCCTCCACAGCCTGGCAGAGCTGGAGAAGGAGATAGGCAACCTCAGGAAGGGCCTCAGAGCGGTCGAGGTGGTGAGTACATCGTTCCTGCCGCGGGGGTTTGAGGGGCTGTGGTCAGGGGCACTGGGTCAGACGGTGGGCCCCCAGGCAGCAGACCCTGTCAGAGGCCTGCTCGGCCCAGCGCTCCTGGCTTGGGTGCAGGAATAATGAGCACAACCTCTAGCACAGGCCAGCCTCAGGGAGGATGATTGGCTTATCCGAGTCTTAAAGTTAGTCTCTCAAAGGGGGATCCTGAGACTAACCTGGTCCCTGTCCAACGTGTGTACTGGGTGGTGGAGTGGACTGAACCGTAGATCAGACACATGCTTAACTCTGACTCCAGTAGGTGGGAAAGAGGACCCACGTCCTCTGGGCGCCGGCAAGGGGCAGGTGGCACAGTGTGACACTGGGACCGTTATCCCCAGGAGTCTCTGCCTCATGTCTCTTTACCCCTCCCAGGCCCTAGAGGAGCCTGGCTGCACTCTTTGCTGGAGACCCAGGTCTCTGGTCGCCACCATTCTGATGGCCCCTCTGACGACACTGTCTCTGGCCCTAGGCTAGGCTGGCTCAGTGTGGGGATGTCCCCACCCCTCTGTCCCCCATACCCGTCTTCACTGAGTGCATATTGCGGGGGGGTGGGGGGGGGGGGCGTCACGGGTACGGAGAATGAGCTTAGAGAATAAAGTTAAATATGAGAAAGAACCTTTCACTGCCACTGAGGGTGACAGCCAACGTATCAAGTGCTTCCCGAAGCGTGGTCTGGGCCAGCAGCTCCAGCGAGATTTAGGAATGCGTCTCCCACCTGGATGTGCACACGGATCACCTGAGGGTCTTGCTAAAAGGCAGACTCTGATCCCATAGGTCTGGGTGGGACCCGAGGGCCTGTGTTTGTTCACCTTCCCCAGGTGAGGACGACGCGGCTGGTGGCAGGCCACACTTCTGGAGACAGGAAGAGGGCAGGGTGGGCGAGGGAAGGAGAGAGGTGGATGGACTGGCTGGTCACTCTCCCAACCTTTGCCACCCTTAAAACTGACACCCAGGGTGTTCCTCTTCCCAAGGAGGCTCACTGCCCCGTGACTGACAGGCAGGGAGGGCGGGGTGGTGACCCGGAATTCCCGGCTCGGACCCACCCACCACCAGTCTAACCAGCACTTCACTCTCCCCGCTTAGGAGCTGGAATATCAGAAACGCCAGGCGCGGGAACCAAATGACAAGTTCGTCCCCGTCATGAGCGACTTCATCACGGTGTCCAGCTTTAGCTTCTCAGAGCTGGAGGACCAGCTCAGTGAGGCCCGGGACAAGGTGAGGGTGCCCAAGCCTCCGCTCACCCTAGCCTAGCCTGCCCCACGCCTCTCCAACTTGGCCTTATGTCGACGGGGCTCCTTCACCCACTCCTACCAGGTGCCCCAGAAGGGACAGACCCAGAATCGCAGAGCCCTGAGGACCAACCACGTCCTCTCTCCCACCAGGAATCAATAGCAACTCTGATGCAAAGACCCTAACCCATTCTTCAGGTGTCGGGCACCGCATTGCTTTACCTCGGTCTCATTGCCCACTTTATGGGTTTGTTGAACGGTTATTGGCCCTTTCCACAGATACGTGCACCGAGATCCAGAGAGGTTCAGGAACTTGCTGGGCTGGACAGAGCTGGGTCAGAATGACTGGAGCCCAGCATCGGCCTCAGTTCCTGCCTCCCACACTGACTTGCACGTGGACCTGTCTGTGGGAGTTTTAGTAAAACGTGCATCCTCCTTCAGGGGGTCCGGAATGGGGCCTGGGGTCCAGCAGTGCTGAGACGCCCACGGGAGCTCCCACGCGGGCCCGTGGAGCACACACGGGGCAGGGAGGTCTTCCTGGGAGGACTCTGCGTGGGTCAGAGGTGGTGGCTCTCACTGAAGAGCAGTGCCTGGTTACCTCTGTTAACTCGTTAACCCCACAACAACACTGAAGTCGGTTCTATTATCATCCCCACTTTACAGATGAGAAAACTGAGGCACAGGACGGTTAACTAACTAGCCCAATAACTATGAGCTCCGAGGTCCTTTTGATTTCTGACCAGGCAGTTCGGTCCCAAGGTCTGTAGCTCCTGCCCCATACTCACGCCGTGACAGACCCAGAAGTGACTCTGGGCAGCCTCGTCAGCCAGCTTGGACCCCCACGTCCCCAGGGTGTCTACCTCCACCTTTTCCTTCAGCCTTGTCTGCACCCTGCTGACAAGGGGCTCCCCTTCTCCAGCCCTGACCCCATGCAAATGCCCCAGCCTCGGCCTGGGCTCAGCTCTGGCTGGCGCCCAGCTAACCACGTGGCCCATGGTGCTCAGGGGTGACTCTCCAACCCCTCCTCCCCCTTACAGTTCTCCAAGGCCCTGGTGCACTTTGGGGAGCAGGACAGCAAGATGCAGCCAGACGAATTCTTTGGCATCTTCGACACCTTCCTGCAGGCCTTCGCAGAGGCCCGGCAGGACCTGGAGGCCATGAGGAGGAAGAAGGAGGAGGAGGAGCGGCGGGCGCGCATGGAAGCCATGGTGAGTGGTGGGCAGAGCCTGTGAGAGGAGAGGCGGGTCCGAGTGGGGTGCCCCCAGGGGACAATGGTTGGGGTGTGTGCGGGGAGGGCAGGGGCTGAGAAACACTGTAGGGACTGATGTCAATCCCCCCTCTCCCCCCGGGGAGAGAATGCCTTCAGCCTGAGAGAGCACAGGGCGTCCTGGGAGGGTGGGCCCAGCTGGGAGGTACCCCTGCTGGGAGACATGGTTTAGAGGTCAGGGGTGGCTGCTCCGGCCTCAGCCTATCTCCCTCCCCCTGCAGCTGAAGGAGCAGCGGGAGCGGGAGCGGTGGCAGCGGCAGCGGAAGGTCCACGCGGGCAACGCGCTGGAGGAGGGCGGCGAGTTCGACGACCTGGTGTCAGCCCTGCGCTCTGGGGAGGTCTTTGACAAGGACTTGTGCAAGCTCAAGCGCAGCCGCAAGCGATCAGGGAACCTGGCCCTGGAAGTCACCCGGGAGCGGGCAACCAACAGGCTAAACTGTTGACTTGGGCACTGGCCGCACAGGAGGCCAGGAGACAGGGATGGTCAGGGGCTGAGTGGAGGAGGCGGGATACTTAACCACATGGTGCTCGGCTTAGAGCCCTGGGCTGGGTCCTGGGGTGCGGCTGTGTGAGGCAGGACCAGGCGTCTCCCACATGTACCTGAGGGGCTCCTCCCTCTCCTCTTCCCATTACTCGTCCTGCTTCCGGGCCCCAGGATCACCCTCCGAGGCCCACTGGGACGTCCCTGGCAGGCTCGGCACCCACATGTTGGCACAGAGCTGCCCAGATCCAGCCTGGACAGGTCCCTGGCTCTTGCTCAGCTATCATGTGCGGTGGGCAGTACCTGGGGGGTGGGCACCCCGAGAGCCAGGTGAGAGATCCAGGCTCCCAGCCCTCAAGAGGCGGCTAATGGGGCATAGACCTGGGAGCCCACTGCCCTCTTGATGGAGAAGGAAGAGGCACTATGTATCCTGGATATGCTCTAGGAAAGATGCTGAGGGTACCACAGGGACCAAGTCGTCAGGACACAGAGTAGCAGAGCCTGTTTCCTCCATCACCACTCACTCCAGCCTCTCGCATGTCTAAGCCTCCCCCTTCCTTCCCACTGCCACCTCCATCCTGTCTACTGACCCAGAATC